AGTACGGCTTGAGGCCTCACCTGGAACACTTGGTACTTATAAATGCCACTGCTTCTTATTTCGAAACACTGAAAAGTTCAACTTTAAATGTCCTGGAGAGGCGCTCCTGTTGGCGAAAGAACTCGCTGTATGACTGGATGATGGCTTGCGACTTCTTCCATCACAGCCATACAATGGTCCCGTACAAGCTCCCACTTTAAGCGTTCTCGGAGCCTGGGGCTTTGCCTCATCACGGCACAGACCGGCTGCAAGGCCTTGCAAAAAGAGACAAACGTGTCGTGGTGGGTCCTGGCTATGTCATCCTGGACTCCAAGCTGTTCGGAGCTTGAAGCCTGGGAGCCTGAACCTTGGACCACTGGCACGACTTGGAGATTTGGCGATGCGGATCCTGAAAATGTGGATCCTGACGCCTGGCTGGGTTGGGAGGCTTGGGAGTCTTGGATGGCTTGGACCTGGAGATTGGGTTTTGTTCTCCTGTTCACCAACCAAGCTTCCACAAAAGCACCGAACTTGTCCTCCCTTGACCAGCCTGAAGAAAGTGAAGGTTCCAAAAGCACAGCCGCCAAGCTTAAAAGGAAGTTCCCACCACTTAGTTCCTGGTCTTTGTTGTGGTAAGTGTCGTGGGCTTCACTATAATGTCCCGATTCTTTTCTCTCCCTTATGGAGATGTGTGCTTGGGACTTGACAAGAATTTCCAAGCACTCCTTGATTATAGGTAGGGAAGGCTTAACTACCGATGCAATACCACTGTACAGTGCGATATCAGCAGGACTCCAGCCCCTGGTGTCCATGAGAAGAACCCCTACGTTGGTGCTTGAGGGCCCTGCTAGTACCCACAACGGAGCCCCCACATGTCGTGGAGGGGCCTCCTGAAGACTCACAGGGTTTTCTTGGAGGGCTGTAGTGTCGACGATCGGGTTCTCTTGAAGGGCTGTAGTGTGGACGACTGGGTTCTCGAGGTCGTGTTGGCTGCCTGGGGTCTCGATGATCGGCTTTGTGACCTATTTTGGAACCTCCTTGGCTAGCGGGTTAATGTACGAGACTTGGATCCCTGATATAAGCTTGCATATGCTTGAGTATACGAGTTTTTTTGGTTTGATGAAACACAAACATAAATGAGTAGTTCATGTTGTTCGTGGAATTGGCATTTACTCTCTTACAAGCTTGGGATCTGCAAAACATTGCCCTACACTGACAGTTGGTCCTCTGCCGCACGTGGCTTGGACTCAAAGAAAAGGTGCTTGAAAAAGAAGCTGCTTCAGACAGCTTGGGCAAACCTAGAACCTGGAGTGTGGATTAAAGATCATCTTCTTCTCCAAGGCTCAGATGGCCACAACTTCCTGAGCATCGTCCCCTCTGTAGTCGTAGCAGCCCTTGAACATGCAGCCTCTGCACGTGGCGCCCCTCAACTGGCTCCGCTGGCCCACATACGAGCATCTGGAGCCTGAGTTGCAGATCAAATACAAAGCTAGGGCTTTCCAGCCCTTGGACGTAAGAATGGGTTCTAACGAATGCAATGAAAGCGATTCCAATAGAAACAAGACTCAGCTTCGGCACTTGGCGAAGCAGTCCCAGCCGAATGCGTGGATGAAGTTGTCATCGGCGTCGCCCCCGTAGTCGCCACCTGAAAAGGGATGAACAAAAAATGTGGGCTTTAATTTGTAGTTTGAGCTTAGGGTCTGGGGTGTTGGGTTTGCTCGCCTGTGGCATTGACCCAGTACGGAAGCCAGGGGGAATTCTTCCAAGGGCTTCTCCTGGCTCACTGCCCCACGTTGTTTGCTGTTGCTGCTGTTGCTGGTAGCCGTGGGAGGAGGAGCCTTGGCCTTGGGTGCGGCCGCAGTTGCTCCAAGGGCCGCCCTGGTTGCCGCCCTGGTTGCCGCCTTGGTAGCCGCCTTGGTTGCCACCTTGGTTCCCGGAGTTGGTCCACCCCTGCTGGTTCTGGCCATCCGCTTGGCCATCCCCTTGGCCATCCTCTTGGCCATCCCCTTGGCCATCCCCTTGGCCATCCCCTTGGCCGGTGTTGTCAGTACCGTCTGCTGGGCCTGGGGGCTGCTCCGTGGTCTGCTCCGGTTGTGTTGGTGGCTGCTGGTGGGCTCCTGGTGGCTGCCAAACTGGGGAAGCTCCTGGGGCGGGTCGACTTGGTCCTGGCCAAGACCCAAAAGATCATGGCTCTGGGGACCTTGGGACCGGTCGGACTTGGGAAGACCGGATTGAGACCTGAGGTTGTCCATAGCTTGCAGCATGTCTTCAGTGCGTGGACGAAGCTTGAGGATCTTCTCGGTCTCCATCTCCAGCCTGGTCGTGAAGTCCTGGTCCTTGGACTTGAAGACTTCCAACTTCAACCTGGACAACTGGTCCCTCACGTCCCGGTCGTACCTGGAGATGTGTGCTTCCTGGAGCTTGGAGAGCTCTCTGTCGAGATCTTGGCGCTTGACGACCAGCGTTCTGCTTAGGTCGTCACTCCTCGTCTTCGACCTCTTGGCCCTCCTCTCCTCCACCTCCTTTATCATTTTTTCCTCCCATTCGGCATCAGAGTTCGCCTTGACTTCTTCCATTGACTCTTGGAATTCTTGGAATTCCGTCTCTGTGGCCTGCCTTTCGTTTTCCTGCTCGTCCTTGAGCTGGGCCTTGGAAATCGTATATTCCTAGAATTCAGAATAGAAGGAAACAGTATAATAGGTTTTTTACAATAAAATCTTTGCTTAAAGAGTAGATGATAATTATGTTTTAAAGATACGACCTCGCGGTTGCGCCTGTAGATCTCGTGGGCCACCTCGAGCCTGGTCTCCTGGAGCTTGGCAAGTTCGGCTTCCAAGAACTCGAGGGCAGCGGGATCCTCCGTCTCAGCTTGAACTCCTGCAAGCTGCCGAGATTTCAAAGAAAGCTTACGGGTTTTCAAAAATCGTTTTACATGTGGCTTATACATGACTTTGGATAATTCAAGCCTGGAAGGTCGCCTTCTGCTGTGGTGGCTGGGACTGAGGTCGCCGGGGTAGCGGGCGGAGCGGGCCTGAGATCATGACTCAAACTTAATGGCTAATTTTGGGTGTTTCCACTGCTACTTGGGGGTGCTTCCGGCTAAAAGGGCTTCCAGCCCCTGACAGCTTCAATAGGGCTTCCAGCCCCTGACAGCTTCAATAGGGTTTCCAGCTCTTGACGGCTTCAATAGGGCTTCCAGCTCTTGACGGCTTCAATAGGGCTTCCAGCCCTTGACGGCTTCAATAGGGCTTCCAGCCCTTGACGGCTTCAATAGGGCTTCCAGCCCTTGACGGCTTCAATAGGGCTTCCAGCCCTTGACGGCTTGAAGACAGCTAAAGGTTTTGAAGATTAAAAGGTCAAGTAAATTCAGTCAAGCTGCTCCTGGGCAGGTGCTTTCGCCGGCGGCTGCTTGGGCGGTGGCGACGTCTTGCCCTGGAGCTGGAGGCCCTTAGGAGGTGCAGGCAGTGGCTGTGGCCGCCTCCAGGGTGAGCAGGGTCGACCCTGCTCATCCTGCCCATTGGAGGTCCAATTAATGTGGAGCTCCTGGGATTGCTGGCTCCTGGATGAGCGGGGATCCTGGGGCTCCTGGCTGCTCCTTTTTATGCTCATTTCATCCAACTGTACCTCCAGCCAGTCGTCGATCGACTCGATTGTTCCTGATTGCTCAAATACCCGGTTAATGAACAACCTGATCGACTGGTCCTGGGGCATCTGGGTGTCGAACTTTAGGCTAAGGTGTCGCACCACATCGTTTTGCCAGTGGCCGAAGGTCTCGCCCTGGCCGCAGGGGTTTTCATTAAGTATATAGTTTTAGGGGATGGGGGCTTAGATAGGGACCGCAACAAGAGACACAAACATATAAAAAACAAATATATATATATATATATATATGTACATATTTTTATGTATATTTTTTGATATATATATATATATATATATTATAATGTATGTATAAACTTTTGCTTGTTACTCCAAGGCCGGCCTCGTCCTTGTACTGGCTGTAAAGTGCCCTCCAGTTCTCTCGCCAGGCGCTTGAGTCTGAGTGCTTTCAAACATAGACATCAACGGTTTCGTTAAATCCTTAAAACAAATGCAAAACTTTGTTACATGCGTGCAAGTGTCCGGTGCCGCCTGGCTGACTGTTTCGCTGGGGGCCCTTTCCCATCGCGGGGATGGGTCCTCCTGGGCGCGCTCGAGGCTGCTGGCCGGCCATGGCTTGGACCGGCTTGACTTGGCAGCTCCTTGGCTGCCTGACTAAGTAACTCCTAAAGCTGCTTCTTGAGCTTGGGAGCTGCAGCGGCCGAAGATCGATCTCGCTTGGGAGCATTTGCCGCCGAAAAGGGCTGTCCAGACCTTGAAACTTTACTTGCAGGCTCATGCAGCTGGAGGGTCGATGTGTTTTTCACTCATGCATACTGGCTTATGCAGTCGAGGCCACCGGGCTTCCAGCCCTGGCTTGGAACACTAAAAGACTTGAAACTAGAACTCCAAAAACTTAGCCTTCTCCTTGAAGGCCTCTGCCAAAGAGCCGCCCTCGGCGAGCTTCTTCTTCATCTTGGCAACCTGAAGCTTGGTCTTATCCCGACCATGCTTCCTGCACACGATCTGGAAAAGCTGCCTAGAACCGTCGACTCTCAATGCGCCACTGTCGTGGTAGTGCATGATCTGCAGCTTGCCCCTTTCAGCCTCCGTCAACTCGGGCTTGTCCTTGTCCTTGGGGGCCTGATGATGGAGATTAAACATTCAGGGCTTCACTTAAATACATCTTCCTAGATAGAAATATATGCTTACGAACAACAAAAATTTTTTCTAATGTTAAGATTAGAGGCCGGCTTCTTCTTCGGCTTGTCACTGTCCTTTTTCACAGGCTTAGCGGCTGCAGCTGGTTTCTTCAAAACCTCGCCCTCCCAAGACTTCCTGATTCGAGCCTTGCTGCCTGGCACGGGACTGCCTTCGGCTTCCTGGCTCAAACTCGTCTTGGCGGTCTTGGGAGTGTCTGGAAGCTCCATATCCCTGGTCCGAATCTTTCGAAGCGGACTGCTCGCAGGGGCTAACGACCGTAGCTTTGGCGGCTTGGTCGCAGGGCTTGGCGTCCCTGTGCTCGGCCGCTTGGTGTTGTGGGTCTCCGCCTGCTGGAGCTTGGCTGGTGAGGCCGACACTTCTGGAAGAAGCAGCGCCCTGAGTTCCTCGAGATCCTTGATCTCGAACTGGGTCGCCTTGCTGCAAGCCTCCTTGACCCTGGTGTCGTTGCACAAGCGGCGAGCATGAGCCATGACGGTCAGCAGCATCTCGGCCGTGTCCCCAGCCCAAGCAGTTTGCTTGCTCAGCGGGGCCTGGTGGATGAGGTCCGGGTAGTCTTTGCTGACCTTGGCCAAGCACTCCTTCAAGTCCTTGTACTTGAAAGCCAAGCCGCTCTCCCCCTCCTGGAGTTTCTTGAGCAAAACCGTCGCCTTTGAAAGCCCTTTGGCCTGGACAGCACTCGTCTTGGCTAGGTTGCCGTAGGGGTCGAAGTTGAAGGCGGCCTGGACACCTAGGAGCTTGACGTGTTTCTTGAACACGTCCAGCAAGTGCTCCTGGTCCACCTCCGGCTTGGCGAAGTTGCGTTCGCCGCCGCGGCCAGCAGCTGCGGGGCTGCCCATGGCTCTAAGAACCTGAGGACTTGCCTGGCGGCCTGCAGCACTTAAACCCGACAGACCTGCCTGGAGCTTGAAGCCCAGGACCTGGCTAGGCCTGCCTGAAGCATGCAGCGTACTATGAAAAAAAACTTCAGCTCAGGTCCTCTTCTCGCCAAGACAATTTTGCATGTCAAGCAGGGCTTGATCGATCTCGGCTTGAATTATACCCTGGCAGTAGCCTGCCCTGGATTAGCACTTGAATTAAGCCGCTTCTAACAAACGACCCCTTGAATCTTGGAAACTTGAGGCTTGTCCTGGAGCTCACCGCCCAGCCGCCTGGCACTGGTCAGATCCTCGGACCTGGCGCACGGGCGGCTCAATTTCAAAAAAATGTAGCGTCCACGTGCTCCATGATCCTCGCCCGCAACTCCTGGTCGCTCCAGGACTGGTGTACCTTAAGCCCCACCCGCACTGCTTCCGAAAGTAGTTGAGGCTTCGTCATTCCGCTCAAGGGGCCTGGGTTTGCTTGGAGAGCGATCAATGAAGCATCGTTGAGCAACAAGCGGATGTACCCGTGCTCCTTCATCTTCATGTGCTTCGTCGCCTCCGGCCAGCGCTCGGGGTCGATGTCCATATCATTCTCGATCTTGTACATGAGGTACTCCAAAAAGTTCAGGAAGCCCACTTCCTTGTCGACATCCCTTAGCTCTATATAAGTAAAAAATTAAATACATAGTCTATATACGGCATATGTATAAGTATATATATGTAGATATATATGTATATGTATATGTGTTCATGCCAAGAATCTCCAGCTGGTCTAGGTAACCTCTCCGCCACATCACGACCAAGGACCTCGCGACTTTGCCTGGAACCTTGGCGTGAAGCAGCTTGGCATAGGCCTGGACGACAATTTCATCATCGCCCTGCATCTTGACCTAGCCCAAAGTTCCTGGCAGCTTGGCTTGAAGACGGCTGCCATGCACGAGATTTGAAGCATGATTCCCCCCCTTCTTCCTTCTTAGGGCCGTCCGGCCCCCGGAAGCTTTGGTTGCAAGACGGCTGCCATGCACGAACCTGCCAAAAATGATTCCCCCGCCTTCTCCCTTCGTGGGGCCGTCCGGCCCACATCCCATCTCTTCTGTCTGTCTCCTCCGTCTTTCTGTATCTCTGTCTCTCTGTCTCTCTCTCTCTCTCTCTCTCTCTCTCTCTCTCTCTCTCTCTCTCTCTCTCTCTCTCTCTCTCTCTCTCTCTCTCTCTCTCTCTCTCTCTCTATCTCTCTCTCTCTCTCTCTCTCTCTCTCTCTCTCTCTCTCTATTTGGTTAGCAAACTGGGGCCGCCCGGGCCGTCGTTTCAGCAAGCTGAAATCAATAGAAACATCCACCTCAAAATCAATAGAAAATCTCCATAAAATCAATAGAAACATCCACCTCAAAATCAATAGAAAATCTCCATAAAATCAATAGAAATTTTCCATAAAATCAATAGAAATTTTCCATAAAATCAATAGAAATTTTCCATAAAATCAATAGAAAGACCACGATTAAAATCAATAGAAGTCAACACTCAAAATCAATAGAAACACGTACCAACAAAAGTTCCAAACGATTGAAATTTCCTCAAATTCAATAGAAGTTTCGTGTGCCTCCAAAATCAAGCGGCCGATTGAAAAAAATCAAGCGGGCGTCCTCTGGGTTCTTCCATCACAGCCATACAATGGTCCCGTCCAAGCTCCCACTTTAAGCGTTCTCGGAGCCTGGGGCTTTGCCTCATCACGGCACAGACCGGCTGCAAGGCCTTGCAAAAAGAGACAAACGTGTCGTGGTGGGTCCTGGCTAGGTCATCCTGGACTCCAAGCTGTTCGGAGCTTGAAGCCTGGGAGCCTGAACCTTGGACCACTTGGAGATTTGGCGATGCGGATCCTGAAAATGTGGATCCTGACGCCTGGCTGGGTTGGGAGGCTTGGGAGTCTTGGATGGCTTGGACCTGGAGATTGGGTTTTGTTCTCCTGGTCACCAACCAAGCTTCCACAAAAGCACCGAACTTGTCCTCCCTTGACCAGCCTGAAGAAAGTGAAGGTTCCAAAAGCACAGCCGCCAAGCTTAAAAGGAAGTTCCCACCACTTAGTTCCTGGTCTTTGTTGTGGTAAGTGTCGTGGGCTTCACTATAATGTCCCGATTCTTTTCTCTCCCTTATGGAGATGTGTGCTTGGGACTTGACAAGAATTTCCAAGCACTCCTTGATTATAGGTAGGGAATGCTTAACTACCGATGCAATACCACTGTACAGTGCGATATCAGCAGGACTCCAGCCCCTGGTGTCCATGAGAAGAACCCCTACGTTGGTGCTTGAGGGCCCTGCTGGTACCCACAACGGAGCCCCCACATGTCGTGGAGGGGCCTCCTGAAGACTCACAGGGTTTTCTTGGAGGGCTGTAGTGTCGACGATCGGGTTCTCTTGAAGGGCTGTAGTGTGGACGACTGGGTTCTCGAGGTCGTGTTGGCTGCCTGGGGTCTCGATGATCGGCTTTGTGACCCATTTTGGAACCTCCTTGGCTAGCGGGTTAATGTACGAGACTTGGATCCCTGATATAAGCTTGCATATGCTTGAGTATACGAGTTTTTTTGGTTTGATGAAACACAAACATAAATGAGTAGTTCATGTTGTTCGTGGAATTGGCATTTACTCGCTTACAAGCTTGGGATCTGCAAAACATTGCCCTACACTGACAGTTGGTCCTCTGCCGCACGTGGCTTGGACTCAAAGAAAAGGTGCTTGAAAAAGAAGCTGCTTCAGACAGCTTGGGCAAACCTGGAACCTGGAGTGTGGATTAAAGATCATCTTCTTCTCCAAGGCTCAGATGGCCACAACTTCCTGAAGAGGTCCTTGGCAGCATCGTCCCCTCTGTAGTCGTAGCAGCCCTTGAACATGCAGCCTCTGCACGTGGCGCCCCTCAACTGGCTCCGCTGGCCCACATACGAGCATCTGGAGCCTGAGTTGCAGATCAAATAAAAAGCTAGGGCTTTCCAGCCCTTGGACGTAAGAATGGGTTCTAACGAATGCAATGAAAGCGATTCCAATAGAAACAAGACTCAGCTTCGGCACTTGGCGAAGCAGTCCCAGCCGAATGCGTGGATGAAGTTGTCATCGGCGTCGCCCACGTAGTCGCCACCTGAAAAGGGATGAACAAAAAATGTGGGCTTTAATTTGTAGTTTGAGCTTAGGGTCTGGGGTGTTGGGTTTGCTCGCCTGTGGCATTGACCCAGTACGGAAGCCAGGGGGGAATTCTTCCAAGGGCTTCTCCTGGCTCACTGCCCCACGTTGTTTGCTGTTGCTGCTGTTGCTGGTAGCCGTGGGAGGAGGAGCCTTGGCCTTGGGTGCGGCAGTAGTTGCTCCAAGGGCCGCCCTGGTTGCCGCCCTGGTTGCCGCCTTGGTAGCCGCCTTGGTTGCCACCTTGGTTCCCGGAGTTGGTCCACCCCTGCTGGTTCTGGCCATCCGCTTGGCCATCCCCTTGGCCATCCTCTTGGCCATCCCCTTGGCCATCCCCTTGGCCATCCCCTTGGCCGGTGTTGTCAGTACCGTCTGCTGGGCCTGGGGGCTGCTCCGTGGTCTGCTCCGGGTTGTGTTGGTGGCTGCTGGTGGGCTTTTGGTGGCTGCCAAACTGGGGAAGCTCCTGGGGCGGGTCGACTTGGTCCTGGCCAAGACCCAAAAGATCATGGCTCTGGGGACCTTGGGACCGGTCGGACTTGGGAAGACCGGCTTGAGACCTGAGGTTGTCCATAGCTTGCAGCATGTCTTCAGTGCGTGGACGAAGCTTGAGGATCTTCTCGGTCTCCATCTCCAGCCTGGTCGTGAAGTCCTGGTCCTTGGACTTGAAGACTTCCAACTTCAACCTGGACAACTGGTCCCTCACGTCCCGGTCGTACCTGGAGATGTGTGCTTCCTGGAGCTTGGAGAGCTCTCTGTCGAGGTCTTGGCGCTTGACGACCAGCGTTCTGCTTAGGTCGTCACTCCTCGTCTTCGACCTCTTGGCCCTCCTCTCCTCCACCTCCTTTATCATTTTTTCCTCCCATTCGGCATCAGAGTTCGCCTTGACTTCTTCCATTGACTCTTGGAATTCTTGGAATTCCGTCTCTGTGGCCTGCCTTTCGTTTTCCTGCTCGTCCTGGAGCTGGGCCTTGGAAATCGTATATTCCTAGAATTCAGAATAGAAGGAAACAGTATAATAGGTTTTTTACAATAAAATCTTTGCTTAAAGAGTAGATGATAATTATGTTTTAAAGATCCGACCTCGCGGTTGCGCCTGTAGATCTCGTGGGCCACCTCGAGCCTGGTCTCCTGGAGCTTGGCAAGTTCGGCTTCCAAGAACTCGAGGGCAGCGGGATCCTCCGTCTCAGCTTGACCTCCTGCAAGCTGCCGAGATTTCAAAGAAAGCTTACGGGTTTTCAAAAATCGTTTTACATGTGGCTTATACATGACTTTGGATAATTCAAGCCTGGAAGGTCGCCTTCTGCTGTGGTGGCTGGGACTGAGGTCGCCGGGGTAGCGGGCGGAGCGGGCCTGAGATCATGACTCAAACTTAAGGGCTAATTTTGGGTGTTTCCACTGCTACTTGGGGGTGCTTCCAGCTAAAAGGGCTTCCAGCCCCTGACAGCTTCAATAGGGCTTCCAGCCCCTGACAGCTTCAATAGGGCTTCCAGCTCTTGACGGCTTCAATAGGGCTTCCAGCTCTTGACGGCTTCAATAGGGCTTCCAGCCCTTGACGGCTTCAATAGGGCTTCCAGCCCTTGACGGCTTCAATAGGGCTTCCAGCCCTTGACGGCTTCAATAGGGCTTCCAGCCCTTGACGGCTTGAAGACAGCTAAAGGTTTTGAAGATTAAAAGGTCAAGTAAATTCAGTCAAGCTGCTCCTGGGCAGGTGCTTTCGCCGGCGGCTGCTTGGGAGGTGGCGACGTCTTGCCCTGGAGCTGGAGGCCCTTAGGAGGTGCAGGCAGTGGCTGTGGCTGCCTCCAGGGCCGCTGACCCTGCTCATCCTGCCCATCCCTCCTGGAGGTCCAATTAATGTGGAGCTCCTGGGATTGCTGGCTCCTGGATGAGCGGGGATCCTGGGGCTCCTGGCTGCAGCTCCTTTTTATGCTCATTTCATCCAACTGTACCTCCAGCCATTCGTCGATCGACTCGATTGTTCCTGATTGCTCAAATACCCGGTTAATGAACAACCTGATCGACTGGTCCTGGGGCATCTGGGTGTCGAACTTGAGGCTAAGGTGTTGCACCACATCGTTTTGCCAGTGGCCGAAGGTCTCGCCCTGGCCGCAGGGGTTTTCATTAAGTATATAGTTTTAGGGGATGGGGGCTTAGATAGGGACCGCAACAAGGGACACAAACATATAAAAAACAAATATATATATATATATATATATATATATATATATGTACATATTTTTATGTATATTTTTTGATATATATATATATATATATATATATATAATGTATGTATAAACTTTTGCTTGTTACTCCAAGGCCGGCCTCGTCCTTGTACTGGCTGTAAAGCGCCCTCCAGTTCTCTCGCCAGGCGCTTGAGTCTGAGTGCTTTCAAATATAGACATCAGCGGTTTCGTTAAATCCTTAAAAAAAACGCAAAACTTTGTTACGTGCGTGCAGGTGTCCGGCGCCGCCTGGCTGACTGTTTCGCTGGGGGCCCTTTCCCATCGCGGGAATGGCTCCTCCTGGGCGCCCTCGAGGCTGCTGGCCGGCCATGGCTTGGACCGGCTTGACTTGGCAGCTCCTTGGCTGCCTGACTAAGTAACTCCTAAAGCTGCTTCTTGAGCTTGGGAGCTGCAGCGGCCGAAGATCGATCTCGCTTGGGAGCATTTGCCGCCGAAAAGGGCTGTCCAGCCCTTGAAACTTTACTTGCAGGCTCATGCAGCTGGAGGGTCGATGTGTTTTTCACTCATGCATACTGGCTTATGCAGTCGAGGCCACCGGGCTTCCAGCCCTGGCTTGGAACACTAAAAGACTTGAAACTAGGACTCCAAAAACTTAGCCTTCTCCTTGAAGGCCTCTGCCAAAGAGCCGCCCTCGGCGAGCTTCTTCTTCATCTTGGCAACCTGAAGCTTGGTCTTATCCCGACCATGCTTCCTGCACACGATCTGGAAAAGCTGCCTAGAACCGTCGACTCTCAATGCGACACTGTCGTGGTAGTGCATGATCTGCAGCTTGCCCCTTTCAGCCTCCGTCAACTCGGGCTTGTCCTTGTCCTTGGGGGCCTGATGATGGAGATTAAACATTCAGGGCTTCACTTAAATACATCTTCCTAGATAGAAATATATGCTTACGAACAACAAAAATTTTTTTCTAATGTTAAGATTAGAGGCCGGCTTCTTCTTCGGCTTGTCACTGTCCTTTTTCACAGGCTTAGCGGCTGCAGCTGGCTTCTTCAAAACCTCGCCCTCCCAATACTTCCTGATTCGAGCCTTGCTGCCTGGCACGGGACTGCCTTCGGCTTCCTGGCTCAAACTCGTCTTGGCGGTCTTGGGAGTGTCTGGAAGCTCCAGATCCCTGGTCCGAATCTTTCGAAGCGGACTGCTCGCAGGGGCTAACGACCGTAGCTTTGGCGGCTTGGTAGCAGGGCTTGGCGTCCCTGTGCTCGGCCGCTTGGTGTTGTGGGTCTCCGCCTGCTGGAGCTTGGCTGGTGAGGCCGACACTTCTGGAAGAAGCAGCGCCATGAGTTCCTCGAGATCCTTGATCTCGAACTGGGTCGCCTTGCTGCAAGCCTCCTTGAACCTGGTGTCGTTGCACAAGCGGCGAGCATGAGCCATGACGGTCAGCAGCATCTCGGCCGTGTCCCCAGCCCAAGCAGTTTGGTTGCTCAGCGGGGCCTGGTGGATGAGGTCCGGGTAGTCTTTGCTGACCTTGGCCAAGCACTCCTTCAAGTCCTTGTACTTGAAAGCCAAGCCGCTCTCCACCTCCTGGAGTTTCGTGAGCAAAACCGTCGCCTTTGAGCAAAACCGTCGACTTTGAAAGCCCTTTGGCCTGGACAGCACTCGTCTTGGCTAGGTTGCCGTAGGGGTCGAAGTTGAAGGCGGCCTGGACACCTAGGAGCTTGACGTGTTTCTTGAACACGTCCAGCAAGTGCTCCTGGTCCACCTCCGGCTTGGCGAAGTTGCGTTCGCCGCCGCGGCCAGCAGCTGCGGGGCTGACCATGGCTCTAAGAACCTGAGGACTTGCCTGGCGGCCTGCAGCACTTAAACCCGACAGACCTGCCTGGAGCTTGAAGCCCAGGACCTGGCTAGGCCTGCCTGAAGCATGCAGCGTACTATGAAAAAAAACTTCAGCTCAGGTCCTCTTCTCGCCAAGACAATTTTGCATGTCAAGCAGGGCTTGATCGATCTCGGCTTGAATTATATCCTGGCAGTAGCCTGCCCTGGATTAGCACTTGAATTAAGCCGCTTCTAACAAACGACCCCTTGAATCTTGGAAACTTGAGGCTTGTCCTGGAGCTCACCGCCCAGCCGCCTGGCACTGGTCAGATCCTCGGACCTGGCGCACGGGCGGCTCAATTTCAAAAAAATGTAGCGTCCACGTGCTCCATGATCCTCGCCCGCAACTCCTGGTCGCTCCAGGACTGGTGTACCTGAAGCCCCACCCGCACTGCTTCCGAAAGTAGTTGAGGCTTCGTCATTCCGCTCAAGGGGCCTGGGTTTGCTTGGAGAGCGATCAATGAAGCATCGTTGAGCAACAAGCGGATGTACCCGTGCTCCGTCATCTTCATGTGCTTCGTCGCCTCCGGCCAGCGCTCGGGGTCGATGTCCATATCATTCTCGATCTTGTACATGAGGTACTCCAAAAAGTTCAGGAAGCCCACTTCCTTGTCGACATACCTTAGCTCTATATAAGTAAAAAATTAAATACATAGTCTATATACGGCATATGTATAAGTATATATATGTAGATATATATGTATATGTATATGTGTTCATGCCAAGAATCTCCAGCTGGTCTAGGTAACCTCTCCGCCACATCACGACCAAGGCCCTCGCGACTTTGCCTGGAACCTTGGCGTGAAGCAGCTTGGCATAGGCCTGGACGACAATTTCATCATCGCCCTGCATCTTGACCTAGCCCAAAGTTCCTGGCAGCTTGGCTTGAAGACGGCTGCCATGCACGAGATTTGAAGCATGATTTCCCCCCTTCTTCCTTCTTAGGGCCGTCCGGCCCCTGGAAGCTTTGGTTGCAAGACGGCTGCCATGCACGAACCTGCCAAAAATGATTCCCCCGCCTTCTCCCTTCGTGGGGCCGTCCGGCCCACATCCCATCTCTTCTGTCTGTCTCCCCCGTCTTTCTGTCTCTCTGTCTCTCTGTCTCTCTCTCTCTCTCTCTCTCTCTCTCCTCTCGCTCTCTCGCTCTTCATCTCTCGCTCTCTCTCGCTCTCTCCTCTCTCTCTCTCTCTCATCTCTCTCTCTCTCTCTCTCTCTCTCTCTCTCTCTCTCTCTCTCTCTCTCTCTCTCTCTCTCTCTCTCTCTCTCTCCTCTCTGCTCTCGCTCTCTCTCTCTCTCTCTCTCTCTCTCTCTCTCTCTCGCCTCGCTATTTGGTTACAAACATAACCTGGAGGGCCGCCCGGCCTCGTTTCAGCCACTGAAATCAATAGAACATCCCCTCAAAAATCAATAGAAATCCCATAAAATCAATATTCTATTGATAGATTTTTCCATAAATCAATAGAAAATTTTCCATAAAATCAATAGAAATTTCCCAAAAATCAATAAAAAGACCACGATTAAAATCAATAGAAGTCAACACTCAAAATCAATAGAAACACGTACCAACAAAAGTTCCAAACGATTGAAATTTCCTCAAATTCAATAGAAGTTTCGTGTGCCTCCAAAATCAAGCGGCCGATTGAAAAAAATCAAGCGGGCGTCCTCTGGGAAGGGTCGCTTCAACATCTGGGTGGCCCCGGTGGCTCTGCAGTTCGAGCGGTTCTTTGACTTCGATTTCTATGTCGGGGTCTCCGCCGTCCAGGGTCACTCACGGATGCCCGAGCGGATCTCTGATGTTGCTCTCGGGGAAAGGCTCACCTTGGAGCGATGCCGCCAGCTTGGAACGATTTTCCACGCCTCGGATAACTCCAACTACGAGAGCATCCGGGAAAACGGCTTAAAGCTGGAGGCGACGAAGGCGGCGTGGCAGCGGCACAGGAAGGCCATCCACCTCGGCGGGTGGAGTGATTTCTCCTGGGCCTGGGACCGTCATTAAGTACGGTACCTACGTCTTCTACGCCAAGCTCGATTACGAGTGCTACATGAGTCACGGCCACAATCTGTTTCTTACAGACAACGGCGTGGTGCTCTCGTACCAGGACATTCCGGCGATGTATCTCACACATCACTACCGTCCTCCTCAC